TATTATCTATAGTATTATGCATTAGCAAATTTCAAGATGATTTATTAAATCAAAAGTTTTTAATCAGCGTTGATTGCAAATCTAAAAAACATGTTTTACAAAAAATGTTCAAAATATTGCATCCATATAGATTTTTTCATGATAGCAAGCCTATATTAAGTATTTTTTATTTTGAAATTAAATATATTAAAGGCAGCAAAAGTTGTATCCTAATTTTCTAACCAGAGAATTTTTGCAGGGGAAGAATGATAGACAAAAGAACTAATCAAAGAAGGCTAGAAGCCATTCTACCACCACCACCAGTAAAACAAGAATCAAACCCAAATTCCTCATCGGCCTTAACCATTACCAACTGTTTCACCCCTAGGTTCCACAAAAGGAAACCTCAGGTCAAACTACCAGACACCCTGTCCAAATTACCAAACGGCATTAGTTAGCCAATATAATCCATATTCAATTTCATCATGTCAATTTTCACCATCTCAATCAACCAGTTACACTAAAACATCACCATATGTCAATAAAAACCTCGATGAGTACCTTTTCAACATCCATCAAGAACAAGCACCAGAAAAAATAGCTAAAACAATTTTTCCTCCCAACCTCATTATCAACCTACTGAATCACATAAACCCTCAAATATTATTAAGTCATTCTTAATAAGACCGAATCCATTTCAGTCAAACCTCTCTACAACAAAATCCTTTACCATTCCCTTTACATTAGAAAATTTCTAGCTGAATCAGAATGAGGACTCTCCTCTACCAAACCAAACCCTTCATACACAGAATGTTCTCATTCCTAATAACCATTACAATTATTTTGATTATATTCAAGCATAGACTAACATTTTTCTCCATTAAACAGAAGACTTTAATCATTCATGGTTTATCAATTTTGACAAAAGTTTCAGATTAATATTTCCCTGCATGGTTCCCAAAATGGTGGTCAGTCTACGACCTAACAACCAGCCTCTTACCAGAAGAACTCATACAAGCCCTATCAGCCAACTTTCAAAAGAAATTTGACAGAAGCCAATTCAACTACAGGATTACACTTCTCCCATTATTTATGGCCAAGTACAAAGTCCCATGAATTTTAAAGTGGAATTATGAAGTTGAAACCAGTGAAGTCTACAGATCAAGATCAGTCAAGTGGTGAGATAAATTCAACCATCAGAAGATCATTAATCTGGTCCTCTTTGAATTTCTCATCGATCCAGTTCCAACTATTCCAACTCCATCAACAATGGCGTTGCCAATAACTTCAAAACAATCTCTATCAGACATTAGTCCTTCATCATCTCTCAAAGGGACAACCAAGTCATCCAAGTCAACACGCTCAAAGAAGAAAGAAAAATCATCTCAGCTCAAAGATTTAGCTCAACAATTAATGGTAGAAGCAGCTTTGCTTCATGACAAAGACTCAGACTCTGATGTTTCGGACGCATCCTCACAACATCTAGCCAACTCAGCAAGTTAGACAACATACTATCAGGATTCCCAAGTCCCATTTGAAATTTGAATAATTCAATCATGTGAAGACACAGTAATCAGGCATGTAACCCCAATAGGAAACATATCATTTCTAGTACTGAAAGCAATAGCCATCATTCCAGATTCCAGACAAAATACTATTCATGAATAGTAAAATTATTTTTTATTATTCATCCATCATGCTGTTCCCCAATTATGACCGCATGATTCAACAGTCATTAATAATCATCTGCTTTTATCATCTTTCTAGCTCACAATACAATAGGATTTTCCGTTTCAATCATCAGTAATCTATTTAATCAAAGCTCAAGCCTCATTTATAGGAGACTGAAACTTTTGCGCATTCTCATTTCAGAACAAAAGCAATATTCAGCTATAAATATCCCAGTTCAAAATTTGTAAACACTTTTAATTTTCAAATATCAAGGATGCCTGCATGCACCAATATCTTTTTCATCAGTTATTTTCTCATTTACTAACTCAATCGTCAGTAAATCAATTGTAAGTTCCAACGTAAGTTTTGCAATAAAACTTATTTTCAAATTATATTTGCATCATTATTTTGAATTCATTATTTTCATTATGAAGAATATTTTCATAACAACTGATTTTGAATGGCATAGAATTCTTACTCACAGTTAATTCATCGAGTATCTCAAATTCAAGGTAAATACCGATCAATCATTTATTCAATTCTTTCTATTTGTTTATAACAATTGGTTTCATGGTATCTTCAACCTGGGTTATCCTCCACATCAAATTTCACATAATTCCATGAATACTTCATTTAAAAGTTCATTCAATCCTAATCATCATTGCCCTTGGTATAAATACATACATACATACATACATACATACATACATACATACATACATAGGCCCCTTCCCAAGAGGGGTCCCTATTTTTTTTTTTTTTTAATGGGGATACCCTCTTGACCGTTATATTTGGCTTTAATGAAATTCTATGGTTAAGATTAAATCACAAGCCACAGAATTTCGTTAAAGCCAAATCTAATGGTCAAGAGGGGATCCCGATTTTTTTTTTTTTAAATGGGGATCCCTCTTGGGAAGGGATTCCTATATATAGTAAATTTATTTAATTGAAAAGGAGGGTTGCAACAAAACGTCTTAATTGAAATCTAGGATGCTAAAGATAAGTATCTTACATTACTATATTTTCTTATTTTCCTCCTATTTTGCATTTTATGTGGTTTTTGAACTTCATGTGCATGTGTTATCCTAGAATGCTCTTCACTATGGTTATATGACATATATGCTTAATGTGTTTTTAAATTTTGGACTTGTTAGATACTCTTTTTGCATTTTATCATTATTTTATTATCTTATCTATGGATTTCAAACAAGTATAATTTTTTGTAAGTGTCAATATGCACTTATTTACAAGATATGCAAGAATTTTACCTAAATCCGCCTAGACGTCAACCCCTTCCTAGCTGCCTAGGCGCTAGCCCGCCGCCCGACTAGCGCCTAGCGTTTTTTAGAACCTTGGCTTCAAATAAAGCAACACATTGTTCCTTAACTGAAGCCTAAGAGAAAACTCCACTCCCGAAGGTAAAAGCATACCCATAAAGTTATATTAACTGAAGCCCAAGAGAAAACTCCACTCCCGAAGGTAAAAGCATACCCATAAAGTTTTCTCACAAGTTTACAATCCTGAGTCCAAATTTCTTCAACAAAGATGAAGCATACTTTATCTGGTGTATGAAAATGCATTCTTCAAATTACTCTTATACCAAGAAAATGATGTAGAAGTCCCAGATCAGTCATCTCATATTTATGCATCATATTAGCTTTGAATTTATCCATTAAATCTTGACAGCTTCCAGTGTAGATTATATCATCAACATAGATAGGCATTAAAATCATATATGAGTCTCCTCTACACTTGGTATATAATGTTGCCTCACTGCTACTCCTTTTGAAACCACACTATGCAAAGTATGAATCAATCTCTCCATACCAGGCCCTAAGTGCCTACTTCAAACCATACAAAGCTTTGTGTAGTTTGTAAACCTTATCCTCATCTTCTTGCACAATGAACCCATATGGTTGATCTACATACACCTCATCTTCAAGTACACCATTTAACAAAAGCTAATTTCACATCCATCTGAAATAACTTTTACTTGTTCTTTACAGCCAGTGCAATCAAAGTTCTTATTATGTCTAACCTTGCAACAGGTGCAAAGGTTTACACCCATTTTACCCCAATCATAGGTTTATCAAATGGTCTCCTTACCAATTCCTATGTCTGATTATTCTCAATCATACATATTTCATCATGACCAAGTATTAATCCAACAGTTATAAACAGGGGGTCCCTTTAAAGTTATATTAATATCTTCATGCTTCATCCTGTGCAGCCTTATCATAGCATTCTGGTTTAATGATACACAAATGGCATCTTTCATAAAGCTCATTTAAGTTTCTATATCTCAGTGGAGTATTATCATACTGAGGTATAGAAACAGAACTAGTTGATTCACCAAAGACATTAGCTGGAGAACCTTCAATTTGGATTTGAGAACATTCAGATATAACATGTTCCATAGAGTCTGAACCTTCATCAACTTCATTCATTTTTAGAGATTCATTTGCAGAAAATGGGATGCACACTTCCTTGACTTTATGTTTCTCCCAGTCTTATTTGCCATTCTCATCAAAGATCACATCCCTTGAGAGTATCACCTTCTGTGTTTCAAGGTTAAACACTCTATATCCTTTTTCACAAGTACCATGTCCAATGAGGATACCAGTGACACTAGTTTCTTCTAGTTTATGCCTTAAAATTTCTTGGAATGAGGGAATAAAACACTGACCTAAACACTCTCAGGTGTTTAATTCCACGTTTTCTTCCACTGAACTTCTTAAAGAGTGTAATATTCTCTAATGCTTTTGTGGGACACCTGTTTAGTAAATACACATATGTGTTCACTAATTCACCCTAGAGATTATATGGAAGGTCTTTCTCATGAAGCGTGCATTTAGCCATCTCCACTCTAGTTCTGTTTTTTCTTTTTGTAACTTTATTCTATTGTAGAGAATATGCAACAGTGAGCTGCCTCTCTAACCTCAAAGATTCACAGAACTTTTCAAACTTATTTGAAGTGAATTCTCCTCCCCTATCAGTTCTCAATTTCTTCATAGAATAACCATTTGAAGCTCTACCATAGCCTTAAACTTCTTGAACACATGGAAGACTTCTGACTTGTGTCTCAAGAAATAGATCCAGCACATCCTTGAGTAGTCATCAATGAATGTAATGAAGTACTTATTTCCACTCAATGTTGGTGTTTGCATAGGGCCACACAAATCTGAGTGTATTAGCTTAAGTGGCATCTTTGCTTTCCATGTTGATTCTTTTGAAAAATACTCCCTGTGATTCTTTCCCAATGCACATCCTTGATGCACACCTTCATTGTCATGCATCCAGGTTTGTTCACTTTGTTTGCAAAAATTCCTTTGCTAAACATCTTATTGAGATTACAAACCCTGGCAATATGACTTAAGCTTGCCACATTTGTGACATTTAATCTTCCCTTTCATCCAACACTCTCCATAGTGGAGTCTATCACAGCATTTACAAGCACCACCAGTGTTGCTAGTTTCATTTCTTACACCCGGAGTGGACTTGTTATTCCACTGTTTCCCCTTGAACTTGAAATTCTTTTGAAATTTTGTTCCACTAGTATTGCTATTTTGATTACCAAAGTTACCATTCTTAGGTGAGATATTCAAACTAGCAAATGCACACTCAGTACTACTTTCTCCATGTCTAGTTGGCCTCAGTTCATACCCTTTCAAGGATTCAGATCCTCTCCTGAGCCCAAAACGAGGATCATCATGACCAAGTATTAATCCAACAGCTATAAACAGGGGGGGGTCCCTTTAAAGTTATATTAATTATAGTCGTTGGATGAAAATCCAACAGCCCATACTACTTGTTTAGGAGGATCCACTCATTGGGCTCAGGAGAGTATCCAAATCCCTCTTGCAATATAGCAACCATATCTTGAGCATCAATTACTTCAATATCTTTAGTATTCTCTATAACATAAGCTGTACTATCATATGTTTTAGGTAAACTGGTCAATAACTTTTGCACAATTCTCTGATTACTAAAGTATTCTCCATAACTCTTTATCTGATTTATCAAATCAAACAACCTAGCCAAATATGTAGCTAGAGACTCACCTTCACTCATAAAAGTATACTTAAAATCACGACGAATACCATGTAATTTCATAGGTCGTATATGTTTGCCTCCTACGAACTCTTGCTTCAGAATATCCCATGCTACTTTTGCAGTTTCTAGAGTTACAATTGCGTGGAAAAATCTGATTCGATACAGCTCCTTGAATGATTCCAAGAGCCTTGCATCCTTGACCAAATTTTCACGATGCAGCTTCATCTCCCCCTTTGTTATCTCTTCCTTCGCCTTCGCTGGAGAAGTAAAACCCGTCTCAACAATACTCCATAACTCGTGAGATCGAAAAATTGTCTTCATTTGAACTTGCCAGAAATCGAAGTTCTCTTCGTTAAATATCAGAGCTCTCTGCCAGACCCAGCTATGTCAAACTAAGATCACACCTCTTTCTCACTAGTTTCTTTGTAACGAGATGTTGCGAGAATGAACTCACTACCACTCACATAATCGACGCCCAAAAATTCAGATCCAACCTAGCTCTGAGGCCATGTTAGAGTACCAAGTAGCCACTGAATAGGTGTACATGTCTTATAGAGAAGTCTCTATTGTAACAATGGCTACCCTTAATAGATTGGTGCCACCTAAAACAATGCCACCCTAATTCATTGGTGTCAAAGTTGAAAATTGTGTTTTTAAAAAATGATGCCCTGTGTGGGCACCCAAATTGGAGTATCATGATTCTTTTAGCTGTTTTTGGTGAGAAAACAAATTGTAATATCATTAAATATAAGAATACAACTATAAATTCGCATAACTGATATTTTATACAATTATGTACAAATGTTGGAAACAAACTTTAAAGTACTTTGAACCCTTTGTTTCCAAGAGCTTAATCATCTCAATAACTTGAATCTGATCATTAGATGCAACCTACAGCTAATATCAAACCCACAAATTTCGTAAGAATAACGTTAACTCAAGTCCAACTGTTAAAGTGATTAGAGTTAGGACAACACTGAGATATGATTATATAAATACCTGGGAAAAGTAGATTTTCAAAGGGTTTGCAGTCATAATTTACCATACAAAAATCTCAACAAATTCACTGCAACCATTTTGCAACTTCAACTAAGAACATATCTGATATCAACTTCTCTGTGATCTAGTAAGCATCAAATATAATTACTGAATTGCTTCAAAGAAAAATGGACCATAGGAACCCATATGAGTGGTGATAAATACACTGAAAAGTTAGAATCAACGAAGGGCTAATGGACGAAAGCTTCCCTTGCTGAAATCGTAATTCTATTACAACATTAACCTACTTAAGACTTACATTTTCTCCTTACATGATGATAACAACTTTCTATAAATGCATAGCACACTGTGGAATCAACTTTGAACTTTAAACACTACATCAAGCTCACCAAAAGCATTACCTAGGGAATTCACAGTGGGTTCTTCAAAGTATATTCACAAGTTTTCCAATTTTTCTATCATTGTTCTCCTTACATGATGATAATAACTTTCTCTAAATGCATAGTACACTATGGAATCAACTTTGAACTTTAAACTCTACATCAAGCTCACCAAAAGCATTACCTAGGGAATTCACAATGGGTTCTTCAAAGCATATTCACAAGTTTCCCAATTTTTCTATCATTTGGTTCAGCATCCTGCCAAGCAAAGTTTTGAGAATAAGCAATTTACCAGGCGTATTACGAAAGCTTCAAACTATTCAAAATCTCAAGACTCTTAACTAAGACCTACAAAAATAACTTAATAAAACCAGTCACATATGCAGTAGTAGCAGTAGAAATGAAACTTACAGTAGTTACACTTGCAAGATTAGACTGAATATAAAACATATATATAAAGACACTTCATGCAGAAGTAGCTATACAACTAGTAAGTAGACCCAAACTTCTTCTGCGACAAACAACAACCATATTTTTAAATACTAGATCACAGAACATAAGCTGATAACTAACCTGATTACGAGGGGCAGTGAAACCCAAAGCTTAAAACCGAAATAGAATAAGGATTTTCTCGAATTTCACCTTAATTTCACCCATAACCTTCCATTCTTCTCGGCCCAGGTCGCAAACAACCTTGATTCACCTTCCTTATCCCAATCTTCGACATGCATGCAGAAAATGGAATTAAGATTTGAAATCTAGAATCGATCCAAAAACTAAACGTTTTTATTTTGGAAAAGAACTTACACTGGAAGACAGCCCACAAGGAGATGAACTATCTTTACCTAGGTCGAGGTCCAATTCTGGCAAGTTTGGCCGTAATTGGCCGGAAAATCCGCGGTTATCAGTTTCTTAGATTTGAAATTGAGGAAATTCGGCTTTGACTTTGATGAAACTAAGGGGGATGTAGTCAAACTAGGATTTGAGAGGATTTTAAAAGACTTTAAAATCCTAGTGTAGTCAATTAAAAGATTTTAAAGGATTTTATAATCCATTCAAATCTAGGTGCAGTCAATTAAAAGATTTTAAAGGATTTTAAAATTCATCCAAATCTAAGCGTATTCAAAAAATTAAGATTTTGGAGGATTTCAATAAGTTGTGGATTTCATGAGATTTGAGAGTAAGAAGTATATATAGCCAAGACTAAAAAGAATCAAACCTCACCCCCTAAGATTTCAAATCTTTTTCCATCTAGGCCGTCCTCAAGTCTCTACCAACCCCAACTACACACAAGTAACCACCATATACTTTGGTGGAATCTCTTTTTGTAAGCATTTCACTGTATTGCAAATAGTTTGAGCTAGATTTTTGGACGAGTTCTTGAATTCTCGAGTCAAAGGGGAATCGCATTGATGCTCAACGGTTAGAACTTAATCCAATGTTCAACCCTAATAGTTGATCCCTACTATACATAATATTAGTTTGAAACATTCAAAGATATATCATACATAGGATTAGAATCACAGTGCTACAAACGAAAAATATTAGTAGTGCATGTAAAATACGAATCTGTACATCATCTATTATGCTTCTTTATTTCAACATTCAGTAATTCTTTTATTTCTTTCAACATTTTGCCACTTCAATCACTGAGACTTGTGACCGGTAGGTGGTACAAAATGTGTAGTCTGCAACAATGGAAAAATGAAGCTACAGACAAGCTTGGTTGACTGCAAGGTGTGCAAGGGTGCAGGTAACAGTTTCTTATACTAGTTTCATGTATTATTATGACCCTTAGACCTTAATTAGGCATGTATGATCATCGAAGGACATGATCGATCTAGGATTTTGGTTAATACTACTCTCTTGCCATTCTGATATTTTAATGCCTGTGGTACTACAAGCACTATTGAAGTACCACAACGTACGTCTGTGGAAAAAGGGCAATCAATGGTGATGGTTGTTGGTGGTGTAGTGCTCAAAAGCTCACCAAAGTTATGTTGATCTATCAATTGAGAAAGAGATGGAGACGTGGTTGTGTGGAAGGGGACCCAAAAAGGAGGGGATAAAGTGGTTATCGAGTACAGTAGGGCAAAGGGAAAGATTTTTCCTTTTTTTTTCAATAAAAAAATTATAAGAAAATCCACCACAATCCACCAAAATCTACAAACTAAATCCATTCAAATTCTTTAAAACCCATATGAATTTTGTAGGAGTCTTAAATCCTCCTAAATCCTATCAAATCTATCACTTTTAAAATCCTTTAAAATCTTAGTTTGACTACACCCCCCCCCTCTCTCCCTAACTTGGGAGTTGGAAAGAGGATGGGAAAAGGATTTTGGAGGTACAAGTTGACGGGTGTTGGCGTTCTCATTGCCGTCGTTTGTCTTCGACTCCCGTTGTCGGTGATGTTGCGTGAAGAGAAGAGGGAGAGGAGAAAGAATGAAGCGAATAAGGTGTTGGACATTTGTGAAGGGGTGAGAGAGGATTTAGCTTTTTACACAAAAAGCAAGACATCAATCTCAGCTTAAAAGACACCAAAAATAAAAGGACACCAATCTCAAATTTGAAGGTCACTGGGATTAGTGGCATTAACTAAAAAGACACCAAAAAAAGCCAAGAGTGTTATCTTTATGTCTATAGTCACCAATTGCAAATAGTGTGCAAATATTGGTGTCCTGTAGCCATAATTCTAGTAGTGACATGACTCTGAGAGTGAAGGAATATCACTCTACTTCTAACATTTATACACTTTTGGCAGTATTCAAAATACATCAAGGCAATCTTAGCCTTCCATCTTACACCCTATGAGATGTAGACACTTGGCACCTTACTTACTTAAGACCAATGAGACTCAAATAAGAAAGATACAACTAAATCAGCACTTAGCTCATTATTCTAGCAATATGAGTTAGAATTACAACTGCCACATCAGATCACAATTTACACACTAACAATAACGTGACTTGACTTCTATGTCGTTGCACTCTTTCTGTCTGTATTTTGAAGGTTAAAATGTAGTGGTGGCGTCTACGTAAAACGTAATTGGACCACAATCCGTCATAGATAAGGAGTAGTCTTTGGCAAACTGGCCGAAGTCCCATAAAAATCACACAGCTTCCCACGTTTCTCTAGGAAAGGCCAAAACCAGTAACGGTAGAAGAACGTTGAAGCTAATTAAGAAGATTTTCTCTCAAACCAACGCACTTTAATTTCCTTAAACCCAGCTAGGTATTTTCTTTCTTTCCCTGTCCTTGCCTAGAAAATAACTGTTTGGTTGCTGAGAAACTGTGGGAAAATGATGAAATGAAAGGAAAAGGAAACAAAGCTTGGCATACAAGGTTAGAATTCAAACTTACAAGCCAAACCCAGTTTTAATATCTTTCTTCCTTCAGTTTTAATATATCTCTCTCTCTCTCTCTCCCCCCATTTATTCAGCTGGTGCAATGGAATTAAGAAGCTGTATTTATAGTACTACTGAAGTATAAATTGTTGAAGTCTTTTCCTATTTTAATATTTACATCTGAATTAATTTTTTTATTAATTTGAAAATACTTCTTACATTATCATAGTTTGGAATTGTTCCTTCGCCTGCTTGCACAGCTATTCATGGAAACTGAATTTAATTTTTTCTCTTTATTTTCATAGATATCTGGTGCATTTGAATTTCTTGATTGGTTAATTTGGATGTCATTTTTTCAACAATTAGTTTCTCCTATATATCAAGTGCATTTGAGGTCTGAGTGAAGTAAACCAACGTATAATTAATTATACAACAGAAAATCGCCCTCTCAATCTCAGTAATCGCGTTTTGTAGTTGTTGAATTTGTATAGGGAGGATTTGAATAACCAAGAACAGAAGATAAATTTTGAGTTGCAAAAGCTGTTCCTGGAAAGGGAAGCAGCTGAAACCGAAAACTGTTCAGAATTACATAACAAACT